AATCATGTGTGAAGAATGATTATGCCAGTTTTACAGATTATGATTTTTCCATCATTTTAGCTGCCTTTTGAACCCTCTACATTGCCTTGAAAGTTGGGGAGCTTAGAACCAGTCGTACTGTGTACAGATTTAATGTTGTTTCAAAACATAAATCTTTCTATTATGTATTTGCCCTTTTGCGTATTTTTAAATTTTCTTGTTATAAATGTTTGTTGGAGAGCAGTAAACAATGATACTGCTAAGTTCAGGTTTTAAATTTCTCGCTTTTTCTGATGCGTGATAAAGCTAGAAGATGGAAGGAAGTACTTGCCATGTAGTGGGCAGATACTAAATAGTTATATGGTTGTCGTGTCAGTACCTACTTGGTAGTATCATATATGCCTCCCTCAATTCTAATCTGTTTATTCTTCACTGATACCACTGTTATCATAATCATGTAGCTGAGAATATTTTAATACTAATATCACATTTTTTATAGCCATCCTTAGTGACATTTAATTGCTGTGAAAATGTTCATTTTTGAAGAATTTGTTTCCAGGAACTAGTTGTTTACCAAGTATTTTCTAGATCTGTATAGGTCATTAGAAATAAAGTTTCCATTTTTTTAGACAGCCATATTCATTTTACGTGATTAAAAAATTTATTTAAATTAATTGATATTCCTTCATTGAAAGCTTCGAAGAGAAAAGGTCATTGAGCATTTGCTTTCTTTTGTGTTATGATTCATTCAGTGAATAATCCATTATATGTAATATTTAATCTGAAAATTTTATCCTAAATGTACATCCTACTAATTTATTTATTTCATAAAATACAGTAAATTTTTTTTTTTTTTTTTTTGAGTTGGAGTTTCACTCTTGTTGCCCAGGCTGGAGTGCAATGGTGCAATCTTGACTCATCGCAACCTCTGCCTTCCAGGTTCAAGCCATTCTCCTGCCTCAGCCTCCTGAGTAGCTGGGATTACAGGCATGCACCACCATGCCTAGCTAATTTTGTATTTTTAGTAGATGGGATTTCTCCATGTTGGTCAGGCTGGTCTCGAACTCCCGACCTCAGGTGATCCTCCTGCCTCAGCCTCCTGAAGTGCTGGGATTACAGGCGTGAGCCACTGAGCCCAGCCTCAATAAAATATTTTTTTAATAGGACTGTTGAAATTCAGAAGGCAAAGATATGATTGAGTCCATTTTATTAAATTTTAAGTAAAAGGACCCTGACTGGGGGACTGGCTGCCTTTTAACAATCCGCAGCATTTTTACAAATTCTACTAGTTCCCGCTCTCTGCAAAGAAAAAGCTTTTTCCACCAACGTATTCAGTAGATCTATTTTTTATTGTTGCCTTAGGTGGGGAAGAAAACTTCATGTTTTTCATCTTTCATAACTGAATTGTTACAATTCACACTCTTAAACTAAGAGGAAAAACTCTAAAATATAAGGAGCATTTTTAGTTATTTTTAAACAAGGAAAGTCATTTATCTTAAATTGAGAATGAAGTTTTTTTTTCCCCTTTTAATCTAAAACTTTAGGAAAATTTCCTAAAGTTTATAAAAGGATTTTGTAGTTTGACTTTCTTTAACACAATAAGAAATAAATGTAAATATTGGCAGGCCTGTAAACCTCCAAACAGTTTTTTGTGATATAAGAAACTAGTATTTAACTATTAGTGTTGCCATCATAATTTCATTAGTGTGGCTTCTTTACACACTTTCTCCAGTGACGCAAATACAGACGTGATTTTTTGGAACATCAGACTTATGGCTGCCTTCTCTCTTCTTCATTACTTATGTTGGACAGACTGTCATTTTCACTTGCCAAAAAAAATCCCACAGTTCAGTAGACTTCAGTTTTGAGGTCTTTCTTGTCCTTCTTAGACCACCAGTAGCTTTGTCTGTTGGCGATCAGAAATTGGACACTTCTTTTTGGTGTTTAACAAACCAGACTGTTACTTGACTTCTAAGGAAGAATATAGCAAAACAACAAATTTTCTAAGCAACGTCACTGGAAACAACAGCAAATCCCTTTGGAATGCATTCTTTGGAACACAGGCCAAATTATTCTTTTTTATCAAGCTTTATGAGATTTGTATTAAGGTAGGGATAATAAGTCTCAGAATCAAGTAAGATATTAGCAATTGTGTATATTTTTCTTTACCCATATGCATATACAGAAATGACTAAAAATACCAAATTGTATGCATATCTGTGCTGTTCTGCTGTAAGCAGACCCCAGAAACTGAGGTTCACATTTGGAGCTTACAGGTTTAGTTAGGTTTCTATTATTCTTATACTATAATCAATTCCATGAAGCTGATGTTCAAATAGAGGGCTTATCTAATTCTACCAACTTCTCTGTTCCCCATTCCTCCCTTCTCACCCATTGCTTCCCCTCACCTCCACCCAATATACACTTTCTTTGCTATATTTTAGGAAATTTTTTTTCAACCTCATTCTCCTCCCTTCTCTTTTCTTGGCTTTGTAACTTATTTGTGTGACCTTTCCAGTGATGTCCTGTGGATTATGCTAAAGTATAATAAATACATCACATGCTTGAGTTTGTAGAAAGACCTTATACTATCAAACCATAGTTAATAGAAGCCGAAAGGTCTTTTTAAAGAACTATGACATTAACTCTTCTCTTCTCCTCTTTTTTTCCTAGCACTCATATTTTTTTTTGTGGAATGTTTCAAACTCCTAACTTACCCCCTGTTATCATAAATAATTGAATGGCATTTAATTATCAAGTTAAATTCCCAGCTGTGTCATTCAAGTAATCAGCTTTCTCCTCTACTATTAAAATTAATTTTGTATTAAGTATGTTTTGTTTTTAAATATGTTTCATTCAAGTCTTAGTTTTAGATAATATATTCAAAAGTGGTGTTAGTTTTAATTTCTTGCTTTCTTTATTCCAAACTTTAGTCTGTTCACATTGGATGCCCCTAGCAAGTGGGCTTTTTCCTTTTTGTTTTTCTCTTTTTTGGTCATTAAACTTATCTTCCACCTTCTTTGACTTCGAAACCTATTATAATGCACTTTTCAGAATATCTTAAAAATTGCCTCATGGAACAATATTGCTTTCAGAGGTATGGTTTTGAAGAGAATTCAAAGATGGTGCTATTTATATTGATTCGTGAAAATATTTAGAATGCACTTAAGTATTTATTTTTACCTGAGTCTTAGTAAGCTAAATTTTACTAATTTATAAGATAAAACACAACAGTTACCAAGATAAGTGTATAAATGGGCCTGCAAATGACCACCTTGCCTTTGCTACTTCTCATGAGAGTCTTCTTAGTAACCTGTAAACTCAAAAGAAAGCCTCTGCTTTCCTAGCCTTATTTAACCTAGCAGGCTGTGAAAGGGGATGTAGGTATTTTCTCCTCCATAGCCAAAATAAGTGATTATGACTCTTTCTATAGCTATCTTTTCTGGGCAGTTTTTAAAAAAGTAAATAAAAATTAAATTCTTTGACATAAAATGTTCTGATTTTAAAAAAGGAGGATTAAATTTAATGATTTAACTTAATTTGGCAAGATCTGTGAGATACAAGATACTATGTTATATATAGTGTCCTTAACTTTGAAGACTTTCCATATTAAATTTGTAATAAATTTAGCTCTCACGTTTGTACATATGCATGCCTGGACTTAAACTGAGATTTTATTGGGAAATATAAAATCAGCATTTTGGAGGGGAAGGAGTATATCTGGACAAGCATGTACTTAAAAGTTTGAGACAAGTGTACATATGATAGGCTATATAAAGATTTGTGTGTATTTCTAAGTATTTGTGTTTTTCATTTTAGACAAACTCCTATCCCATCTTCAAGATGTATATTTCAAGATAGCTATGGAAGAGGAGTTTAAAAGTTCCTACCACAAATAATAAATATTTGAGGTGATGGATATCCTAAATAGCCTAATTTGATTATTCCTCAATGTCTACATGTTTCAAAACAGCACATTATACACAAAAACATGTGTAATTATTATTTGGCAATTAAAAAGTAAAAAAATGAACATCACAACTGGCTAATAATAAAGGAAAAGTGTACAACAGCAATAGAGAGGTGACTGGGCTTTTTCCTGAGTGTGCCTGGGTGTACTTTCCTTCTTATGCCACACGGGGTGAGAGAGAGGGTCCCATGCCGTGACCCTGCCTCCTTTAAGGAGATAGAATCAAGGCCCTCAAATTGAACACATCAGTTAAGTGTTTCTTATCCTTCGGGATGGTGTGAAGAGAGGGGAGTTGACAGAGATCTGATTACATCTTCCCTTGGAGCTTCACCAAGTGAACTTGGAATAAATGTTTAGTTATACATCAAGTCTCTTTCCTTTTCAAGTAAATGTGTCTATTTCTGTCATATTCTTTTCTTACTGTTTTCATATTCTTAACCTGAACTCTGAGATTCACGTGTTTTTACTATTTTTGTAACGTATATACTTCTAAAATTGTCATTAGTTAGTGTTTGCACCGGTGTTGGGAAGATGTGTAATATAGTCCCAGGGAGGTTCTTGAATTAGATTTGATTTTTGTGTCTAAAGTGTTCAAATGGAATTGAACTGTTTGCTTAATAAAAGAACATTAATGTAGCTATACTTAAGAGCAGAAGTCTCTGAAATCTTTGAAAAGATACCTATTCATATTGTTAACTATTCATTGTATCGCTTCAGCTGGTATTTTAATCATTTGAGTAATGTTTCCTTTCTTTTGGTGATATAAGAAGAGTGAGAATATGATTTCTGTTCTCTATACAGCAGAATTAGTAATGAATAAGCTCAAATGATGTAATTTGGGCTTATGTGGTATTGGATAAGACTGATTCTGTTAGGTCAATGTAAAATGGGTACTTCACTAGATTATTCAAGTCCTCGGCACATGTTAATTTAAAAGTAGAATAAGAACTCTTAAATAATGAGGCATCTAAAGGTCTTGTTTTAGATGGTATGTGTAGACATATAAAGGAGGCATTTTTAATGATGAAATTATCTTATATCCTTTGCTTAGGGTGTACCAGTGATGGCAATAAGAAACAAAATGATATCAGAAGGACTAGACCCAGATCTTCTTGAGTAAGTAATTCTTCTAATATAATTATATTATTGCCAGGACATTGAATTTGTTAGTTATAATAAAAATATTTCAAATTCTCTATATTTTTATCCCTACAGTGTTTTATGGTTGAGGATATCATCTTTGTAAATAGTGTCTCTGTTATGTTACCAAAAAGAAAAATATCCTATTCTACTAAAACCAGCCTTTACACACTTTAGGAACAGTTTCAATAGATTAGTAATGATTCTAGATATCCAAAGGAGCTGGAATTTAATGACAGTTGTTTTTTTGTTTGGTTTGGTTTCCTTTTTGTACTACCTCTTGGTTTTTTGTTTGTTTGTTTGTCCTTTTTTGGTGGGGGGTGATTATTATCTATGGGGGGTAGATGATTTCATTTAAGATCTCAGTGTGTAAGAAATTTAGTCTGCTATAATCTAGGTTAAGCCAGATTGAGAAATAAATAGGCTAAAGTTTCCCTAGGTCTATGTTAATGATTATTAAGAAACTAGATACTAATTTATGTGAGTTTTTTTAACCTGAAAGTATTTAATCCCTTATTATGTGAATTTTATAAAATATTTTTGAGAAATGATAAAAAAAATTGTAGCTCAGAAATTTGACAACAATTTATTTCATCCAAGCAAATCTGGCTGCATAGTTCAGTTCATCTTGTATAAAATATATTGTAATAGATTCTTCAGAAGAATTCTGTTTTGCAAGTATCTAGGTACTTGTAAAGAATCTTTCCAGTTTGGGGTTGTAGTTCACCCCAATGTATTTAGCTGCACACTCCAACCATTCATTACTGTACTAGCAGAGTATACTTTGGAATTTTTCTTGGCTCTCAGTCCTCCAAGAAAAGGTGTACACTTTGGTGGTAAAACATTATGAAGTAGTCTTTGTCTCATATTTTATCTGCCAAAATATGAAATTTATGAATTCTTTTAAAGTCTACAAGAATAAATTTCAAACATATATCTACAGTTGGTATACATCCAAGTAGCAAACAGTTCAAGTACAATGGCATAGCTTGGCAACTTGAACTGAAGGATCTCTGAGATATTTGGCATTTGTTCTGGAAATTGTTTCTGACACACACATTGAAAGCCAGATGGATTGTGATATATATTTTAATGTGAATCAGACCTATAGGTTCAATCCATTTTGGTACTCATTGCAGTATATAGGTTGTAAATATATTTAACATTAACTATGACCACCTTTTGCTTCTGGAAATACAGTTAGACCTCCTATAATAACAGAGAACTAAAATTACCTTTAAAATGATTATCTTTTTCTAGAGAAAATATAATAAATGGAAAACTAGCACCCTGTAAGCATCAGCATGTGCTGGATATCCAAGACTTTTACCTGCTACTGGCTTCATTTCATCCCCTGCCCAGCCTAAACCTACTTCATAATCCTTTACTTCAACCAGCTACCTGTACTAGCAACTTGATAATCATCCTCGATTCTGTCTTCTTCCTTACCCACTACAGTGTCAGTCACTATGTGTTCTCACTTTTAATATCTCTCACATCTCACCGTATACCTCCATATCCATTGCTGTTAAGTTCACGCCCTCATCATTTGTCATCTGAATTACTAGAGTAGCTACTGATTGGTTTTCCTGGTCTCTTTCAAGCCATCCACTAAAGCCTGAGTGGATCTCTTCATACTTCATTCTTGCTTCACATCTTCCTGTGACCCTCCACTGCCTTCAACATGTAGTCTAACATCTTAGTATTGCATAGAAATGCTTTTATCATCAAGATGCAGATTCTCTCACTAGCATCCTCTCTTGCGTTTCTTTCACATATGCCTATTTCATATAGCCATAGTGAACTACTTGCAGTTCTCTGAATGTATCATTTTCCTATTCCCTTTTGGTGTCTTTAAATGTTCTCCTTTCTCTCTGTGGAACTCCACTCCCCCATCTTACTGGCCTGGCTAACCTATTATTCTTCAAGATTCCATCAGGTATCACCACCTGATAGAGTCCATAGGTAACTACCATGGGGGAAGATCCCAGGCCCTTCAACATTTCGTTGTGTCTCGCTTGGCCAGTTTGAGGGTATTTCATTGTCTATAAATGTTGAGAAACATTCAGTTGTGAGGTAGTGCCAAGTTTAAGGGTAGAATTCCAGTAACAATTAACATTGTCTTACAGAAAAGCTGCTCCTCAACCACAGCCTGGAGCCTGAATTCTGACCCATTACCTCATATGCACATGCCATTAGTCACCAGGGGCACTGGTTACGGGGGGATGACTCACTATAACCTATCACCACTACTAGCAACCCAGTTTCAACTGTATTTAGCTAGATATGATAAGTGCAATCAACTACCGTGTTAACAGAGGAATTATGGTGCTTTTGGAATCATGTTTACATAAAAGTTACGGAGCCTCACTTCAGGAGAGAAGTATGAGATGATGAAAGAGAAGAAAATGTGCCATCCAAGGGAAGAGTACACTTTTATTTAGAATCTTAGGTACATTTTAAGCCTCAGCCAAGAACTTCCAGTAAAGATTGTTCTGTGTTCTTTTTTCTTTTAAAGTATAAACATACACTTTATTTTTTATTAGCTTTAAGTAGTAAGACAAACTCATACAACTGTTGGAAGAAATGGCCTAGCTCTGTCTGCACTGAGCAAAGGGCAAAACTGAGGTTAATACAGAAATAAATACTGATCAGAAAATATATTGCTATTTGATTGGCTTATTTGTATGAAAAATTGGAAGCTAAGAGTACATAATTTTAAATCAAAAATATTTACATGATAAGAGAGAAGAGATCCTAGCAATTTTCCCAGGAAAATGACTATTACAGAATTTAGAAAGTCTATAAAACTGTAGAAAATGCGTGATAATTGCTAAGTAAATATTGGATTTGATTCACGTGATTGTTTTTAAAAATTAAATTTTTTGAAAATAACAATCATTTATATATAACCAAGAATTAGTCCTGTTTAGCTTCTAAAAATTAGTTTCACTACCAGTGAGATAAAAAGATATGGGAAAGAGTATTTGTCATCAAAATACTCAAAAGAGTTAAGGGGAAAATGGAAAAATTTGATTGGTTTTTGGCCAAAGGTTAATACATTCAGAAATATACAATGGGTAAATCACGCCTTAAATATTCTTTCAATCACTGCCTAGATTTTCTTGCTTAGAAAAAAAGAAAAAAGTTTCACCCCATCCTGTTCTGTACTCTTACATTTATGTCCCTGAACTAGCGTTACTATTGTTACCTAGTAATTGCTACTTTTACAATTCTAGGATAAACAGACTAGCTTCTGGACTTGCCCATGGGCAAGCCATGAAATTCACAATGATTGAGGCGCAGGATGAGGCCGACTTTAGAGATGGTCTACTTACTTGTATTCAGATTCTACCCTGCCACTTTCTAGTTGTATAACCTTGGTCTGATTACCAAACCTCTCTGTGCATCAGTTACCTCATCAGTAAAATGGGAAATAGAAGAGTTCGCTCCTTATAGAGTTGTTCAGACTAGATAGATAATGATGTAAGCACTCAGCACACACAGCTCTGGATAAGCAGTAAATGTTTAATACATATTAGTTGTGATTTATGAATGTTTTAATCGAGGACTATGTAGCAAATTCTAGACAATGGATTTATCAGGCTTTGGATAACAACTTGTTTATAATCTGTAGTTGCCTATATACTATTATGTTCTCAACAAAGACGTATTTAACATATACAGAGTAGTTATCTTTTTAAATTATATTCTGTTTTCTCAAACTGAGAACCTATATTGTTAACTTTGCTTTAAAGAACAGATTTCTGAATTTGAAGTTCAGTTGAACACACTCCTAACCTTAGTGGGAGGGTGCAGTGTGCAGCTTATCGATTTGACTAAAGAAAGCATATAATTGAGTTCAAGTTACTGTGCAGACTTTGAACAGAACCAGCTCAGTTGGCATTTCTCCTGGATATATCTATCCAAAAGACATTTATACCATCCTCCCAGACGGTGGAATGACCACTCTTATGGTTGCCAGAAATAAAAGTAGCCACCTTAGCCTACTTATCGCTGAGACAAGAGGGGATTTATTATTGTTAAACAAAAGGATACTGGAAAGCAAGAAAACTTTTTTTTACATGGCATGCCCAGCAGATTTTCATGCCCTCTAAGATCATTCCTTATCTGCCAGGAGGATCTTTACCTCCTGCTATACAACAGCATAGTGGAGTAAAGATTGACTTTTAGCTGATTGAGGACAGATTAGACCTCAGTTGCACAACTGGACATGCAAAAATAGGGTTTTTACTCTTTCCATTTTGTTAGTTTTTGCTGAGCTACGTTCTCCATTTAATGTAATTACCAGTCCTCATTCATTAGCTGGCAGACACTAGCTAGAAAGTATAGGACAAACCATATCAAAAATTGTAATTGGTCTACTTTTAGAGAACTTGATCATAAGAATGAGAGAGATAATAGATATATCAAAGAGGAGATGTTAGAAAGCAGTTGTGGGTCTGTGTGTAGCTAGCAAGCAAGTGGCAGAGGAGCTGCTGGGAAATAAAGGATCCCAAGACCAATAGCAAAAGTCCATCCTACCTAGAACAGCTGCTTTTCTTTTTCTTCATGATATTAGGCATTAAATTGTTTTCATGGTGGCAGGAGTCTACCTACTAAGACAAAGAACTGGATATACCTGTCTTGATGAGAATTCAAAAGAGAAAAGACCAAATTAATCTCACTAGCTACTATAATTCAAAGTCAAAATTGTTACATTTTTAATTACCCAGAGGTCCTTATTAAGTCAATACAATCTAATTCAAGAATCTTAGTGTTTTGGGTCTTGTTTTTCTTTTTTTTTTTTTTTTTTGACACAGAATTTTGCTGTCACCCAGGCTGGAGTGCAGTGGTGCAGTCTCACCTCACTGCAACCTCTGCCTCCTGGGTTCAAGTGATTCTCCTGCCTCAGCCTCCCAAGTAGCTGGGATTACAGGCACATGCCACCATGCCTGGCTAATTTTTGTATTTTT